CAACCCAGGCTCTCTTTGGAAAATTATCAATCAAGCCATACCATCAAAAAGTAAAGAAAAACATGCTTACACCAAAGACCCAAAGACAGTCGCTGATGAATTCAATCAGTTTTTCTCGTCTGTAGGCAAAAATGCAGCAGATGCGTCAATTCGTCTGGCAGAAGAGAACAACATTACTGTAGAAGAAACACCTTTAGAGACCGTTTATATGCCTTCCCAAGATCTCTTTTCCTTCCGAACAGTAACCAGCGAAGAAGTACGCCGTGTCATTGCATCCCTGCCATTGAACAAAGCCCCTGGACCAGACAAGATAAACTCTAGAATCCTCAAAGACTGTCTCCCTGTTATACTAGGACCCCTAACACATATAATTAACTGCTCTATAACCTCTCGTACATTCCCTACTGCATGGAAGGAAGCGGAAGTGATTCCCATAGTGAAAGACGGAGACCACGAAGTAGCGTCAAACAACCGCCCGATATCTCTTCTTGCCATAGCTTCTAAGGTTTGTGAAAAAGTTGTTCTCGAACAATTCAGTAGCTATCTTATAAGCAAAAACCTGCTTTCTCCTCATCAAAGTGGAAATAAAAAACTCCATTCCACAGAGACCATGAACATTTTTAGTACCGACACGATGCTAGAGGCTATGGACAAAAAGGAACTCACCGCTCTATAGTATTATTAGATCTCTCGAAAGCCTTCGACAGTATTAACCATCACAGATTGTTACACAAACTAGCGAATGTCGGCGCTTCCCCAGCAACAGTACAGTGGTTTAAAAGCTACTTGTCAGATCGCTTTCAGTCCACCCGCATCAACTCCGCCCTATCTGATCCACTACCAATCACTCACGGAGTACCCCAAGGTGCGACGCTTTCACCATTATTATTTTGTATTTACTTGAACGATCTTCCCTCCGTATCTCGTGACTCCAGCCTTGAATCGTACGTTGATGACTCGAAAGTTCTCCTCTCCTTCCCATTACGTCAGATTGATGAAGCAATTGCAAATCTCGAGCAAGACCTACACAGAGTTGCAAGTTGGTGCTGTGAAAACCACCTTTTAATTAACCCGGGGAAAACAAAGTACATGATGATCGGAACAAGGCAGATGATGAGCAAACTACCTACAGACACATCAATTTCATTCTTGGGCAAGTCTCTTAAACCAGTGGACTCTGCTAAAGATTTAGGTATCACATTAGATAGACACCTAAATTACGACAAACATGTCTCGCTTCTTGTCTCGTCGTGTATGAACAAATTATGCCAGATAAATCGTGCAAAAAATAGTTTCGACACAAAAACTTTATCGGAAGTCATTTCATCCTTGGTCATCAGCAAAATGGTTTATTGTTCTTCGGTGTGGTCGAATACGTCTGCCTCCAACGTGAAGAAAGTTCAGTCGATCCAGAACATTGCTTGCAAAATCGTCACGAAATCCAGGAAGTTTGACCACGTAACTCCACTTCTACGAGAATTAAATTGGCTCCCAGTAGACAAACTACTATATTTTAGAGACGCCAGTTTGACCTATAAATGTGTGAATAACCTAGCACCCGACTACCTTTGTAACAAATTGATAAAAAGGTCATCAATCCACGACCGTAGGACTCGTACACACGACTCTCTTCAAATACCTCTATTTAAGACTGCAGCTGGCCAACGATCATTTACATATAGAGCCGCCCATATTTGGAACAATTTAGACAAGAACTTGAAAGACTGCTCTTCACTTAAAACTTTTAAAGTAGCACTTAAAAAACATTTACTTGCAAAAGATAACATTTAGTATAACCAACTAAACTTTGTATATAGTCTTTGATAAGTGTTTAAATTTATATTTGTAACCTTAATTATTACTGCATGCATGTAACTGTAAATAATTTCTGAAAAACCCTTTTAGGGAGAAATTTATTAAATATCTATCTATCTATCTACATTGAAATATGGGTATACTGACAGCTCTGTCACACTTGTAGTTTGGCATTAACAGCCCTTCTGAAACATTTTAATGAAAATATAATTCACAAAATTCACATTTTCACTTACTTCTTAACATCTGTTTTAATCCAACTAGCTCTGTAGGCACGAGCAAAATCTAGTGTTGATGTAAATATCCATTTAGTTCATGCGGTTTCCCAGGTGAAAATATAGTCTATTCCAAAGCTGGATTTCGACATACTTTAGCTTTTCAGAAACCGTTGGCCTTCCTCAGTAAGATTATCAACTGTTTCACAAACATATTTGATAGTAAACAGCTAAAATATTCTCTGAAAGTCTGTATTTTTGTTTCGTTCCCCGCAGGAACGAAACGGTACTGTATTTGGTTTCGAGCAATATCACAGGAAAGTGACGTCAGAGATCAAAGTTATCCAATCCTTTGCCAGTATTCTTGCTGAAACGTCAATTACATTTAGAATCGTCCAATGAGATGACCGCTCCTAGCATAAGAAGTTTTTTGGAGGCGTGGCGTATAATCGGAAATCTTAGTTAATTATATGTCAACCTATGAGAACATGGTAACTTAACCTGAAGTTCAGGCCCTAATTTGAAATAGGGCCTGACACAAAACCTGTCTAGACCGTGGGACGCCCACATGTTATTTTTAGACACAGCATGCAATATGATTGACAAGTGTTGTAGATTTCGCTACACAAAAAATTTATATTCTCATGAACATGTCCGCAGAGTGTGCATTTTGCTTTTTAATTAAACTTAAAAATTCAAGGTACTTTTATATAATTAAGAGTCCGTTTCTCTATTTAACCGAACAGCAAACAAAGATTCAATTAGTCAGTTCTGTGTATGGCTTGACTACCAAGCTTTCTCAAGGTCTCAACTTGCTGGACGCGGATATACCAGGGATATACTCTAACGGGCTAACATTTTAACAACAGCAACAATAAAATTCTCAATCGTACCACGAAGAAGGCGATGTAGCTCAGAAAACAACGCCGGTAGGACCTGATATTAAAAATAAGACTTTTGCTGGCGAAGCCAGTTGGCAGAACATCTTGGCTGTCAACAACAAGCTTTCGAATACATGACTAGTTTGGCTGTTCTTTCAGCGTCGTGTGTCCAAAATTCGTCAAAGATTTTGATAAAGACCTTTCAAAATACTATTTGTTTGATTTATTTTCTGCCATAAAGCATATTAATTAAAAGAAAAGAAATTCGAAGAAATCGATAATGGATTTGTTACGTGCGTTTGACCTTTATATTATTATTGTCCCCTTGAGCCCTTGACCGAGCTATTTTTAAAACTGTTGTTTATGTGAACTTGCAACCAATCAAAATCTTAGGGCCTGAACTTCAGATTAAATCTACAGGCACGATGATTTATATTTGAAGTATTCAAGCGCCAACAGCGATATATATTTATTATATAGATTTTTTTTGTTTTTCTTCATTTTAAATACTACTACTGTATTTCTGGACCGCTCGGCCCCTCCAGGTAATGAAAATTTATACTAATACCTGCAAAAAATTACCAGAACCCGCCCGCCTCACAAAATGAACCAATTTCATTGCTCGACATATACAAGTGATCTATGGTCACAACCGCTAATTACAGATGTCTGGTATTTCTATAATTATATTGGAACGAAACATTATTTCTTTTTTAAAGAAATATTTTCTTGTTCACTCTTCGACGCGAAAATGGCAACTCGAGAAGAAATGAGCCGCTATTTTTGGTCAGCGTCGACAAATTGCCCACCTGTTTTTGTCACGTGGTACAAGTAGCCTAACCAGTCTCCTTCGATTAACCGTGATTCAATACTGCGTGATAGCTAATGCTGTGAATCACCTTGCAATACCGCGGAAGAAGGCGATGTAGCTCACAAAACAACGCTGGTAGGACCTGATATTAAAAATAAGACTTTTGCTGGCGAAGCCAGTTGGCAGAACATCTTGGCTGTCAACAACAAGCTTTCGAATACATGTCTAGTTTGGCTGTTCTTTCAGCGTCGTGTGTCCAAAATTCGTCAAAGATTTTGATAAAGACCTTTCAAAATACTATTTGTTTGATTTATTTTCTGCCATAAAGCATATTAATTAAAAGAAAAGAAATTCGAAGAAATCGATAATGGATTTGTTACGTGCGTTTGACCTTTATATTATTATTGTCCCCTTGAGCCCTTGACCGAGCTATTTTTAAAACTGTTGTTTATGTGAACTTGCAACCAATCAAAATCTTAGGGCCTGAACTTCAGATTAAATCTACAGGCACGATGATTTACATTTGAAGTATTCAAGCGCCAACAGCGATATATATTTATTATATAGTTGTTTTTTTTGTTTTTCTTCATTTTAAATACTACTACTGTATTTCTGGACCGCTCGGCCCCTCCAGGTAATGAAAATTTATACTAATACCTGCAAAAAATTACCAGAACCCGCCCGCCTCACAAAATGAACCAATTTCATTGCTCGACATATACAAGTGATCTATGGTCACAACCGCTAATTACAGACGTCTGGTATTTCTATAATTATATTGGAACGAAACATTGTTTCTTTTTTAAAGAAATATTTTCTTGTTCACTCTTCGACGCGAAAATGGCAACTCGAGAAGAAATGAGCCACTATTTTTGGTCAGCGTCGACAAATTGCCCACCTGTTTTTGTCACGTGGTACAAGTAGCCTAACCAGTCTCCTTCGATTAACCGTGATTCAGTACTGCGTGATAGCTAATGTTGTGAATCACCTTGCAACACCGCGGAAAGCTTGGTATAATCGCGGCAAGATAATCTCTAAACTGTATCCAAAAATATGCTCCATATTTGCGTCGTGTTTATTTTTCGTGGCAAGTTATCAGGAAGGTTTTCGACCAACGTGTAAGCTACCGGCCATACGTTACGCCAGACAGCTGAAGATAATAATCACGCAGTACAACATCAATTGGCTTGTATAATTGACTCTGCGTGGAGGAACGTTTAAAAATTTTGGACGGTTAAACATTTTGAAAATATGAGTAGACTTAAGATGTTTTGGGTTATGGTTGCAGTAACGTGGAGTGTATTTGGTGAACATGTATCAAGCCTAGCAGGTTTCACTGGGTCGCTGTGTGCAGGCAGACCGCGAAAGGTTGCATTCAATGAAGGTCTCACAGCTGGGACTGTTTTGTTTAAGTTTAAACAAGTTCAGAATACTATATATACTTTCCATCAAGACTCCGCACCAGCGCTGAATATATTTCAAATAACACCCGCGGGAATTGTAACAAATATTGTTACATTAGATCACGAAGACCAGAGAGGGAATGAGTTCACTTTGACAGTGTTAGCGAAGAAAAGTAACATTGGAGGAAGGTCGTCCCAAACATGGGTAAATGCTTGTTCTTTAACAATAACCATTAATGATCTTAACGACAATTCTCCTCAGTTTAAGAAAGATTTATATGTCGGCTCTGTACAAGAAAACGAAGACGAAGGTACTATGGTGCAAGGTCTGCATGGGATCTACGCCACAGACTTAGACACAGACGCAAACTCAGTCAACAGTTATAAAATACTTCCTGG